AAAAGACGTTAAAAGATGGGAGTTGTTGCTACCTTGTTTGGCGTTCAACAATAAGGGATAGAGCAACATCGATCTGGCGCTGCTCAGTGGCTGCCACATCACACATCACATCACACAGCTCTCTGCACTCTTCTCAAATATGACAACCTCCCCCCCCCCCCTCCCCCTCCCCTACACAGAGGTGTAATCATATATTTCAGCTGGTGGTAAAAGGGTGTTGTGAACCCACATCACACAGCTCTCTGCACTCTTCTCGAATATGACAACCTCCCCCCCCCCCCCCCCCCCCCTCTACACAGAGGTGTAATCATATTTCAGCTGGTGGTGGTGGCGTCATACCAAAAGACGTTAAAAGATGGGAGTTGTTGCTACCTTGTTTGGCGTTCAACAATAAGGGATAGAGCAACGTCGATCAGGCACTGCTCAATGGCTGCCGGCTCACGATCAATTGGGCAAAAAGAATTTGAGTTTCGGTTTAATAAAATTTGGAGTAGACTATTAGGCTATTATTATTATTATTATTATTATGTAAAGGGTGTTGTGAACCCACATCACACAGCTCTCTTCACTCTTCTCAAACATGACAACCTCCCCCCCCCCCCCCTACACACAGGTGTAATCCTATTTTAGCTGGTGGTAAAAGGGTGTTGTGAACCCACATCACACAGCTCTCTGCACTCTTCTCAAATGTGACAACCTCCTCCTGCCCCCCCCCCCCCCTACACACAGATGTAATCATATTTCAGCTGGTGGTAAAAGGGTGTTGTGAACCCACATCACACAGCTCTCTCCACTCTTCTCAAACGTGACAACCTCCCCCTGCCCCCCCCCCCTACACACAGGTGTAATCATATTTCAGCTGGTGGTAAAAGGGTGTTGTGAACCCACATCACACAGCTCTCTCCACTCTTCTCAAACATGACAACCTCCCCCCCCCCCCCCCTACACACAGGTGTAATCCTATTTTAGCTGGTGGTAAAAGGGTGTTGTGAACCCACATCACACAGCTCTCTGCACTCTTCTCAAATGTGACAACCTCCTCCTGCCCCCCCCCCCCCTACACACAGATGTAATCATATTTCAGCTGGTGGTAAAAGGGTGTTGTGAACCCACATCACACAGCTCTCTCCACTCTTCTCAAACGTGACAACCTCCCCCTGCCCCCCCCCCCCTACACACAGGTGTAATCATATTTCAGCTGGTGGTAAAAGGGTGTTGTGAACCCACATCACACAGCTCTCTGCACTCTTCTCAAACATGACAACCCCCTCCCCAATTCACAGGTGAAATCTTATATTAGCTGGTGGTAAAAGGGTCTTTTCAAACATGACAACCTCCCCCTGCCTCCCCCCCCCCCCCCTACACAGAGGTGTAATCATATATCAGCTGGTGGTTAAAGGGTGTTGTGAACCCTAATCACACAGCTCTCTCCACTCTTCTCAAACATGACAACCATCCCCCCCCCCCCTACACACAGATGTAATCATATTCCAGCTGGTGGTAAAAGGGTGTTGTGAACCCACATCAAACAGCTCTCTGCACTCTTCTTAAACATGACAACCTCCCCCTGCCTCTCCCCCCCCCCCCCCTTACACACAGATGTAATCATATATCAGCTGGTGGTAAAAGGGTGTTGTGAACCCACATCACACAGCTCTCTCCACTCTTCTCAAACATGACTACCTCCCCCTGCTATATGATTTGAAAAAAGAAAAAAAATTAAATCGGGAAGAAAGAAAAAAATCAGGAAAAATATTTAAAAATCGGGAAACTGATTTTTATCGGGTTTTTATCAGGCCTGAGTAACCCAACTATCAACTCCCATAAACATGGTGACACTTTACACGCCACAGCAGACACACTCGCAAACTCTGCGAATACAACTGAAAACGAGTATGGTGTGAACGAGTCTGGCTCAAAGCCAGCCGGCTCATGGGCAGAGATAGGCGCCAAGCCATCGCCCGAACGGGGTGATAACTTTGACGCCAAAAATGTTGGCATCTGCCGGAACAACTGGAAGCCCCAGTTGCCCGAGCGAAAGAAATATCAAACCCCCAAATAATTCAAAACTACCAGAGCGGGTACAGAAACGGCCCACTGAAGCGTTTGACGCCAAACCCTGGCCAATACATATTTCCATAACATTTAAGTTCACACAGTGAAGAACCCAGGACATAAAAAACTGTGCCCGGGACTGAACTTAAAAAGGAAATACGCTCGGCAAAAGTGAACACTAAAAACTGCCAAACTAAAGTGACTGAGGGTTAAAAACCCGAACCAAATTGTATAAGAACCCGAACCAAATTGTATAAGAACAAAATGGAAATGGAAATTACAGAAAGAAAGGCACCCAAAACGCTGCTAGGAGTCAAAACTCAAAATTTTGCGTGAGTGACTTATCTGTACTCCTGATCGATTGACTGCGAAAAAGAGAGAGGAAGTTGCATGCAGGCGTGGTGCGCACGTGACAGGTGGTATCGCGGGTCTTGGCTTGGGGTATGCACAACTATGACTTTTTTTTATTTTGATGACTGCTTTGTCTGGAGGAATTAGCAATTATAGGTAGAAACACATGATTTATTGTGGTAAATCTTCATTATCATCATCATTATTATCATCATCATTATCATCATCATTATCATCATCATCATCATCATCATCAACCTTCATTATCATTATTATTATCACCATCATTATCATCATCATCATCATCATTATCATTATCATCATCAACCTTCATTATCATCATCATTATTATCATCATCATTATCATTATCATCATTATCAGCATCATTATCAGCATCATTATCAGCATCATTATCAGCATCATTAACCTTCATTATCATTATTATTATCTTCATTATCAGCATCATTTTCAGCATCATTATCATCATCATCATCATTATCATTATCATCATCATTATCAGCATCATTATCAGCATCATTATCATCATCATTATCAGCATCATTATCAGCATCATTATCATTATCATCATTATCAGCATCATTATCAGCATCATTATCAGCATCATTATCATCATCATCATCATTATCATCATCATTATCAGCATCATTATCAGCATCAATATCAGCATCAGTATCATTATCATCATTATCATCATCATCATCGTCATTATCATTATCGTCATCATTATCAGCATCATTATCAGCATCATTATCAGCATCAGTATCATTACCATCATCATTATCATCGTTATCATCATCATTATCATCATTATCATCATCATTATCATCATTATCATCAATATTATCAGCATCATTATCAGCATCATTATCAGCATCATTATCATCATTATTATCAGCATCATCATTATTAACATCATTATCATCATCATTATCATCATCATCATTATCATCATCATTATCAGCATCATTATCAGCATAATTATCAGCATCATTATCAGCATGATTATCAGCATCATTATCAGCATCATTATCAGCATCATTATCATCATCATTATCAGCATCATTATCATCATCATTATCAGCATCATTATCAGCATAATTATCAGCATCATTATCATCAATATTATCAGCATCATTATCAGCATCATTATCAGCATCATTATCAGCATCATCATTATCATCATCATTATCATCATCATTATCATCATCATTATCATCATCATTATCATCATGAACTAGTGAAATCAGAACTGATTTCAATACTTACTATATAAATCTATGTACATGTATATACCTAATATTGCTTAGTCCTCCAGACAAAGCAGTCATCAAAATAAAAGAGTCAGTTACATGTATGCATACCGTACCCCAAGACCCCGCTCTACCACCTGTCATGTGCGCACCACGCCTGCATGCAACTTCCTCTCTTAAAGCAGTCCCAGATACAACCAGGGACATGTTGCCAACAAGGAGAGGGGACGGAGGGAGGGACATAGGTAGATACATAGATTTATATAGTAAATAATAAAATCTGTTCTGATTTAACTTATTTACCACTATAAATCATATGTATCTACCTATTATTGCTTAGACCAACAAAGATGAAAGCGGGGGGCATGTCCCTAACAACAAGTTAGCGGGGTCCCAAACAAAAGGTCAGCAGGGAACAGGCAAAAAGATGCCGTTTGTACGTACACTGTCCCAGTCATAGCGATCTGCGTTGTGTGCAATCTTACTTCCGATGGTATTTTCCACTTTTTTCCATAGATTTGCACATTCCTTTAATTTTTTGAAAGACTTCTTTCAAAGAGGTATAACTCTGCTTTGAGTTGCAACAACGTGCATGCAACAAAATCCTGAAATTGCACCCTCACAATCGTCGGCACATGCGCTGCTGGTAACATTGTCGTCCGACGATAAATACATCGCCATGTTTGCTGTATGCGCCTATATGAAACGAACCATGTGATTGGTTGATATGCATGGAATAATCTGATGCGTACATGAAAGAGGAAATGTAATTGGCTTACATTTTCAAGATGTTGGACTAAAAATTCATGTTTTTTTTCATCTTTTCTAAATAATGGTGGGGTATCAGGAATGCAGAGTTATCTTTTATGCATCTACACATATTTTTGTATCATACTGTCTCAATAAATATTACTTACTTTCGATTGGTCACGACAGTTAAGAATTTTGGCCAATGGCCCATGGTCTATAATATACACAACGTCCACTTTGAAAGTGTGGCAGGAAGAATATTTGCATTAAACATGTAGATAAAAATGGCAGCTTGTTTGTAGTTATTATTTGGTTTTTTATTATTATTGTCATTAATGTTCCATTGTTTGGCGGAAAGATATGAAGAAAGCAGTAACGTTGATCTCCATAAGGAGGATCCTCGTACAATCCTCATTGGAATGTTTTAATGGATGGTTTTACAGTGCTCATATCCACTAAAGAAGGTGCTCAGCGCAATCCCATATCACCCAGCACTCGCTCACAACCCTAACCCTATATCTAAGATGAAATAAAGCCTGGAGAAAATATCAGATCACTGATGATTTTCCTACCTGCTTCTTCTGTATCCTTGATGACAACAGCGACGTTGTAGCGGCTAACGATAGCATCAGAAGGGCAGTTGATTACCAGGGAGTACTTAGCACCCTCCGTAGATCCAACTCGGATACCCCACCCTCCTGGGGTGTCTGCTTGGGAGCGGTGGAAGGGCATGCGGATCACCGTTCCGCGGTTGATGGATGAAACCACAGCACCTGCAGAAAATGAAAACGTTGAAGAGAAAGTTGAGTACTAGGCATGAGACTGCAATGTTAACAGAACTACAGTAATACAAGTTACCGGTATAGAGAAGAGTTGATTATGTGTAAATAAGAAGGACTGTGTTTTGTGACTTCACAAGTTTGTTATCATCAAGCGGATAACAAAATGACTCAGTCACTTGGACTTTTCTGTTTTTTCTATTTTCCATTCTTAACGCCACTGCAAGACCTGCATATATATAAAGGCAGACAATCATTTCTAGTATTCAGATGCAAGGCCTTTTCCAAAGACTACTTCACATTATGAGATGTTACTAGCCCATACTTTTGTCAGTTCATATCAACTTTGTATGATAGATAGAATATAGGAGTAATTTGGGGGATGTTCATGGCTTTGAATAAAACAGGGGAGTGTTTTGGAAAGAGCAACAAACTTTAGGACGAAAGGTCATACAGTAATTTTCCCAATGTTACACAATTATCGTAAATGCATAGTTATGTACATACTTTTGCAAAAATGGGGTACATTTTTTGTGAATGTGTACTGGATAATCAAAAATTAGGATTGTAGAGTCCATTTTCCACCAGTTTCAATGCAAAAAGAGGTAATATTTTTTACTCTAATGATCATGTGTTAAAACATTAATTATCAAATAACACCATCAGGGTTAGATGACTGTTCATACTCACCACGAACAGTCAACTCCAGCATGAACACCTCTGTCTTGGGAACCTTGTTGAAGGTCACATCAAGGTCAAAGGCCTGCCCTCGCCTGACAAACAGGTTCTTGATCTCATATTCAGAGGTGTGATGCCTTTCACGATTCCTTACCAACTGTGTCATGAAAAATAACAATGATAATGATGATCATACAATAATATATGATAACAAATATTATGACTAAATCAATAGTACTGATTATAATGACATTAATAATGATAATAATAGGAAGAAGAAAAAGGAGAAAAAGAAGAAGAATAGTAAATAATACTAATAGTTCTAATAATCATCACCATCATCATCACAATCATTTTCATAATTATAATAATGAGGGAATAGAAACAACAAATGTGGTGGTACACTTAGGCCTCAATGTACAGTGATTATCATAATATAAAGCAGGTTCAAGGATTTAGGCAGTCTCATTGGACAAATGACACCAGATGACCATGCATCTTGCTTTCATAGATTTCATAACAAATTTTTAGGGGGCACCCGAGAGAAGATGTGCCCCTACCCCTTAATGATACCTCCAAAAGCATTGTTCAGATATGCCATGTCTTTTTTTTTAATGATGACTAAAAGCATAAGATGCTACACATTTCCAAAACACAGAGCTGAGTGAATATGCTTAGGACCATTGTTGGGCGCAGTTGCAATTCATTTACAAGAATATTAAAAATTGTGTTTTTGTTTGGGGCGGTTTTCCACGACATATGTGAATGAGTCTTAAGCGTTTGATTTACCTCATAGTCGAAGTTCTTCACACTGAGTTGATTGGGGTTGGAGGGGGAATCCGTGTCATCATCCCGTCCCTCACCGAGATACGCCCTCTCTGCGTCGGCGACGTTGACAGAGCGCCCTGGGGAAGGGGGCGACGTGATACCGGCACCAGTCTCATCAGCGGTTTCCATTAGCGTACTGTAAGACGGAGAGAAAAACATTACATAGCGGTTAGACTTTCAAAGGAAAACATCTGTTGCACTGCACACGAGGAATGATTTTGTTCAGGGCCAGATCTAGAATTTGTGTTAAAAATAGGGGAGCTACATGTAAGAGTAACACGAAAATTCGTGTTATTCAATTGCTAATCCTGCTCAAAGTTCTGGGAAGATTATTCTAGTGTGGAAGAGTGTTGCCACATAAATCCATTGCCTCCTAGACCCTGGTGGCCCCTGTATTAAACCGGAGAATGAGAGAATTCAGACGTCAACGGGTTAAGAAGAGGACGATTAAAGTAACGAGACCTCATTTCATGGACATGAGTTTGAAGATGATAGATCTTGAGTTTGAGTTTGAGTTGAATTGAGTTGAGTTGAGTTGAGTTGAGTTGAGTTGAGTTGAGTTGAGTTAGACATTAGACATTAGAATTTAACATATTGCAAGGCAGATAGGGGATGGTGCATAGTGCAGGACAATATGCTACACATCCTGGGGGGTGTTTCATAAAGCTGTTCGTAAAGTTTCGCATGACTTTACGAACGACTTGTATATGAAAAGCCAATGGGATGCTCAATCATTATTAACTGCATCAACTAAAGTCGAACTGTACAGATGTAGATTAACATTCTTATTATAACAAACATTTTTAATGCAATGTATAATTTTTTCCATAATTTAATTGAGGTTATTGGAAATATCAGAAAAAACTTTGGGCATCCTATCTGGCACTTCATAAATAAGTCATTCATAAAGTCATGCGTAACTTTACAAATGGCTTTATGAAACATCCCCCAGGAATAAAAAAAAAATAATAATAAAAAGTAATACAACAGGTGCAATATGCATGTCTCATTTCTAAGGTGACTGAGCAATGAGAATAGCTTGGAAGCTGGCCCCCAAACTTCAGAGTGAAATTCTGTTTTTCTTTGTCATATTATCATTAGTTCTAAGTTGAGGTGAAAGTCAGAACATTTTTCATTTGCTTGTTTGATTTGTTTTGTTTTGATAGTTAGAGGACATCACTGGGAGCAGAAGTGGCTTAGTGGCTATGTTTCTTTAAATTACAACGCAATCTGACCTTTAACTGCACATGGTACATGTATGTTTACGAGGGAAGAGATTGGCATGATTGCTTCAATGCAGACAGACATTTTGTGCAGCGACAAAGGCAAATCCCTTTCAATTAGACTCTGTGGTCATTGCGTGCAGATATTTTGATTGACCAAAAAGACCATAATATTTAAAGGCCAAGGGTAAATGGCATACAGATAGCTCTGATTTCTTTCCTCCTATTCTGAAAACTATAATTTACATTTTTTATCAATAAAAGAAATGGAATTTTTCCCCCCATTAATTCTTAGTCAGTGAACATCTTTATGTGCATGGTGGTAATACCCCCCCCCCCCATATCTCTCCCTCTCAGTCTGTCTGTCTGTCTCTCCCTCCCTCTCTGTCTGTCTCTGTCTCTGTCTCTCTCTCTCTCTCTCTCTGTCTCTCTCTCTCTCTCTGTCTATGTCTCTCTCTCTCTCTCTGTGTCTATGTCTCTCTCTCTCTCTGTCTATGTCTCTCTCTCTCTCTCTCTCTCTCTCTCTATCTGTCTCCCCCCCTTCTCCCCCTCTCCCTCTCTCACACACACACCCACAAACACACGTTCACTCCATTTAGATTAGAGCTTCGTTTTATTGTGAACAAAACTGCTATGAATTCATAGAGAATAGTCTGAATAGCCTTTGTCATGTACTCACAGTTTTTCGGTTCAATGATATTCTTTTGAAAAGATTTTTTTCATGAACACAATGAATAATGATGGTTTATATGAATGAACAAATAAACCATACTGTTTGAAGGCCAAGGGTAAATGGCTTGCAGATAGCTCTGATATTTTTCCTCCTTTTCTGAAAACTATAAATCATATTTCCTATCGATAAAAGAAATGCAAATAACTCCCCCCCCCCCATTCATTCTTTATAGTCAGTGAACATGTACAAAGTGGTAAGATTCCCCCCCCCCATATATCTCTCCCTCTCTCTCTCTCTCTCTCTCTCTCTCCATGTCTCTATCTCTTTCTGTATGTTTTTTTTTTCTCTCTCTCTCCCAGTTATAGTCTAGATGGAGTGAATTTGTGTATGTCTCTCTTGGTCTCCCACACACACAAACACAAATTCACTCCATCTAGACTATAACTGTATTGTTCTATTATGGACAAAAATACATAACAGTTTTGATTTCCAACTTTGTCATGTACTTTCAGTTTCATAAGGTTTAATGATATCTTTTCATAAGACTTTGTTCATGAAAACAGTAAATAATGATGGTTTATATGTGTTCTCAGCCAGCAAACAATACTAAGCATTCAACTTCAATATTGTCGCCATGGTCTCGTTCTCGGTTTGTGGTATCTCTCTCTCCCTCTCCCTCTCTCTCTCTCTCTTCTTCTTCTCTCTCTCTCTCTCCCTCTCTCTCTCTCTCTCTCTCTCTATCTCTTTTTCCATATTTATATTTCTATTTCCCTCTCTAGTTCAAGAACTTCTACATATAGTTGTATGTACTCAAACATAGCTGCTGTACATAAAGAAACAGCAGGGAGCAAGTCATTTGGAGTTGGTGAGCTGTTCCCAGTTGGAATCTAGTCTGCTGATAGAAACCCTATTTTCTCATTTACACTGCAGTCAGTAAATAATTTGCACACACAAACCCTACTATCAGTCATGCTTCAGAGTGTCTGCAAGTGCTACAAGACTACAATGGGCTCTGTACTTTAGCCGCTCCTGGCAAAGCCATAAAGCGATGGATCTAGGCTCTGCTCAAATCTACAGCCCGTGGTAAATTGCTAAGTATAGTCTGTGCTTGCAGACTAGTCAATAAGCTGCATACATGATCAACACTGATACATACACTTGGTTTCCCCACAATCTTGCCAGAAGACTTCCTGACCTACAATGTAGCAGTCCTAGCAACAACTGAAAATCCAATCTGTACTACAAAAACAATACACTTAAAGGGGAAGTCCACCCTGAAATTAAGTTAGTTTTAATAGGAGTAGAAAAATGAGAGAAACAAGTCAGTGAAAGTTTGAGCAAATTCCGATTAAAAATAAGGAAGTTCGGATTTTTGAAGTTGTGATCAATCAAACACAAATTGGCAAATCTATGACGTATCATGCGAGCTCAACTTCCATTTGCTCAGTACTAAAAAAATATAAAATTTTCATTTTCCCTCAAGAAAAATTTCAACCATACATGCACTCTAAATATAATAATTGCAAATATGTTTCTATACTCCCCCTGCAAGGAACAAATATATATTCCGTCATCAATAACGAAGAAAACATGATTTTATGGAATATTATGCACAAAGCAAATGAAGGAGAGCTCGTATAATAAGTCACAGAGTTGCCAATTTGTATTTGATTGATGACAACTTCAATAATTCATAACTTTCTTATTTTCATTCAGAATTTGCTCAAACTTTCACTCACCTGATTTTCTTATTATTCTGCCTCTATCGAAACAAACTTATTTTGGGGGTGGACTTTCCCTTTAAGACATTCTAATTTTACATTCCAATTTTACAAGTTTGAATTTTTGTTAGTGGACCCTGCAGATATGCCAGACAAATATTTATGTCTTGAGATCATGCTAGTCAGAGAGGGTGCAAACTAGACAAGTATCATTATTCAAGGGGAATGCTGAGTTCTAGTAAAGATAAAAAGAATTGGTGAGATTTATCATTCTTTGTACAATGCACGTCAGTCTCAAAGAATCATACTGGAAATGTCTAAAAAACGATACTACTCATAACAACATGCCTTATTATTCCAAATAGGACAAAAAATACTGGTAGGTGGAAAATTGGGACCTCCATTTGCGCTTTAAGAACTAGCTATTATAGAGTACCTAAGCTGTGACGTCATAAAAATAAATTTTTAGAATTTCTAAATTGTTTCTTCATATTCCGAAAGAGCATCAAAAACAATGTTCAAATGTCGAGAATTAATTGAATATGTTAAATATTGGCTGAGATATGACCATCTGAATAAATATATTTCCTATAGGTGTTATTTGCTCTGGCTTCTAATGGTTGTGAACCAGAGCAAATAACACTGAGTTCCTATAGGAAATATATTTATTTAGTCCCATAATCCCATTTCTGTGAACTAGCTTCAGCAATATAGAGTCAACAAAAGTCAACGAAAGCCAGACAAATATTTATGTCTTGAGATCATGCTAGTCAGAGAGGGTGCAAACTAGATAAGTTTCATTATTTAAGGGGAATGTTGAGTTCTAGTAAAGATAAAAAGAATTGGTGAGATTTATCATTCTTTGTACAATGCACGTCAGTCTCAAAATCATACTGGAAATGTCTAAAAAAACGATACTACTCATAACAAAATGCCTTATTATTCCAAATAGGACAAAAAATACTGGTAGGTGGAAAATTGGGACCTCCATTTGCGCTTTAAGAACTAGCTATTATAGAGTACCTAAGCTGTGACGTCATAAAAATCAATTTTTAGAATTTCTAAATTGTTTCTTCATATTCCGAAAGAGCATCAAAAACAATGTTCAAATGTCAAGAATTAATTGAATATGTTAAATATTGGCTGAAATATGACCATCTGAATAAATATATTTCCTATAGGTGTTATTTGCTCTGGCTTCTAATGGTTGTGAACCAGAGCAAATAACACTGAGTTCCTATAGGAAATATATTTATTTAGTCCCATAATCCCATTTCTGTGACCTAGCTTCAGCAATATAGAGTCAACAAAAGTCAACGAAAGCCTGCATTCTTATGTATGTACTACATCTCCTTTCCAAGTTGGTGGACCCATTAACTATATGCATATCTTTTAACAGAACTTTCTTGTTGACAACTAGAAAGCTTGTCAGAGGCTATCCCAGCATAGCAACAACTGATGTGTATGTATTGTGATGCAAACCAGATTTCATCTGTTGCTATGCCATTATGCATAATAGGTGAATAAAGTGGCTGGTTACCACAGTTTGGGGAAAGAAATATGCATGAATTGAGTTTTATCACCAACAAAACTTGTGTGTTAGCATGGTCAGAGCACTTCCTCTTTGAAGCTGTATAAATACAGTACCATATGCTTGAATGACCCAGTACACGGCCATACAATAAGCACAGGTCTGGTAATAGCCAGCTACATGTTTCCTGGAGAGGGGGCCACATCTAAAGAGCCAACAGGAAAACACCCTTCACCTTGTATTGAATATCAATTACCATCTATCATCACTTACTGGCGGTTACTTCATTCCATACTGTGTACTAAATTACTAATAATGGTTTGTGGCCAGCTGCTCCTAAGTGTAAACAGTCTACATTACAGACTCTATTTTTCCACTGAGGATACACGTAGTATCTCCTGCTACGGCAGAGTGATATTTTAATAGGATGGCGACATGGTTTCAATGAATTTCGGCAGCGTGTTGAGTTATGTCATTACATGTTCTGATCTGGTCGGGCATGTAACCATGCATGTTATACACGATTAGGCATACGGTACTCTCACTACAGTTTCAAATTCCTTACCGGTACTTCTCAAAACTATTCTTATACACCTTAAATGATATCAAACCAGTTATGAACAATATACAATATTATTCATATTCAAGAACATCTACTTTATGATTCTCAACAATCAATCTATAATTATCAAACTACTCTCTCTCTCTCTCTCTCTCTCTCTCTCTCTCTCTCTCTCTCTCTCTATATATATATATATATATATAGTTCACTAGGATTTGTGACTTTCTCACTTGAGTATTTTATATACAGTACATAAAAACTCTGTGCACCCACAGAGCACACTGACTGCTGATGGTGCACTCTGGTGCTGCTGAGTGCTGGGCCACAGAGAGAAACTTTATCCCTTTTGGGCTTAAATTTGTTACAAACTTCAAAGTATGAAGACCGATAATTCATGTATTAAAAAATATTATTTGTTTTATGAAATGGGTCGACAGTCTTACTTTGCAAGGCCATAAGATGTCTCCCCGCAACCATCCTCCACGGTTGTTTTCACCAAAATGCACCACATGCTGATGGTACCGTGCAGATAGTAAAAAAGAATGCACGGTCACGTGATCCATGTTGACGCTTCTCATTGGCTACATTCTTGAACCCATTTTATTAAAAAATATTACTACTAATGAGTCTACCCTGGGTATAGATTGGTTAAGTGTGACGTCATCAAAACTATATTTTAAAAATTCTCAATTTTTTCTTCATATTCCGAAAGAGCATCAAAAATAATGTCCAAATGTTGAAAATCAATTGAATATGTTAAGTATTGGCTGAGATATGACCATCTGAATAAGTATGTTTCCTACAGGAACTCAGTGTTATTTGCTCTGGCTCCTGAATGAACATATTTACATCGTTTATAACATTTATACAGAACAGTTACAAAAATAATACTCGTTTGCAAAATAAACATAATCATTAACCTAGTAAACAGTAATGTCAATAGGAAAATATTGATTAAGTCGCAATTATGTGAATAAGTCATGTAAATATTACAGAACATGCACGTAGTGTATGTACGGCTGAGCCATTCACAAATAACAACTTTGTTTAAACAATCTCTTAAATAAATTGACAGACGAAGCCGTTCTCAATGAATTATCTAGCTTATTCCATTCAAATATGGAAGAAACAATTGGGCTACACTTATAACAATCAGTGTGAAATCTAGGCACACGTAAACATCCACTGTCTATTTGCCTTGTCGATGCTCATGTACATCATTAGGATTGATTAAGCCTACCTGAAGGTAAGAAGGTGCTAAGTTATGAACGCATTTATATATCATCATAACGCGACTTAACTCAAACCGCTTGTCTAGTGTCATCCATTTAAGACTTGTGAACAAATCAGCCGACGGTGTGTCATATGTCTTGTTCAATATTATTCTTGCGGCCCTCTTTTGAATTTTTTACGTGATGATACAAATTTTGCAGAAAAACCGCCTACTAATTGATATATTTGGTAAATTATTATATTTATTTGGACGTGATAAATATAACGCACGTGTCTCGCACGTGTGCGTAGTCCCATATACATTTGATGATTCCAGAACCTTGCAGTACACACCAATACTTGCTAGATGATCAACCTTTTCTGATCGATTCCACGTTTCTTTCACAATGCAATCGCATGACCAGAACTGGTCTTTATCTTTAAAACCTTGAGGTCACTTAGCATGACCATAATATGCATACAATAAGCAGGCCTGCAAAGAGTGCATCGCATAACGTCCTATGGTTACATCAAACATCACATACATGTAACATCCATGCTTTCTTCATGGTGGAAGTGTTTTATGTCGGATAAGCGATCCATGACCAATTCTGGCACTGGAATTTTTATAGTCTATAGATAATTACATGTACTAGTCAACTTGGGACGAGCTCAATAAGTAAGATGAATTGCACTAGCTAGGCTAGATCAGATTGATTTAAGGACTACAACTGAAAATACTATATTTAGTAACTGCATGTAGGGTTGATACCTATATGCTCTACTCCATCTAAATCTAGTAGTATCATTTCATGAAATCATAAATATTAATGATAGTTATGATGAAGATCTTTTGTTTCAATTGTTTTGTTATTTCCAAACTAGTAACATGCATATAATTATGATCTTGTTGATCATCTTGTTGATCATTTGGTATTAAATATAATTATTTTTAAAAACTGTTATTACTTTTATCTCTAGTACTGTTTGATTGAAGTCATTGACACATAAGTGTCTGGTATTAAGCCCATGCTTTACGCATTCATGCTCTTTGGCACTTGGTTGAGTATCCCTTTGGCAGCTCTCAATAGAAGGAAATACGTTAATTGTTAGTGTTTATAATATAACTGCAAATTTGTTTGTGTGTGTATGCGGCATTAAGCAGAAATGCATGCTGATGTACGCTTGATGCGCTGGGGTACAGTATATGTAAAATTTCATGCATATAATGTAGCAAAGTCAACTCGTCAAAATGCATTGACCTTTCGATTCAATGCATATCACTGCATTTAAAATTACTATACCATTTACAATTACAGGGTGTCCGGTATTACGGGGTGTCTGGTATTATGAGACTGAAGTGACCATCACTGGCGTACTGATGGGGGGGGGGGGGGGGGGGGGGGGCAATACAATTCAAAGGCGGTTTATTTCTAATTTGATACCACTGATTCACAAATGTTGCTTAAATATTTTGATTTTCAGTGATATACTTTTGTATATGCTTGCTGGAAAGTGACAAATTCCCAAATTTGAACTACAGTCAGGCAAAAAGTATTATTTATAAGCTAACAACATGTCAGGGCTTGACCCCGACCCCCCCCCCCCCCCCCCCAACTTTTTTGAAAAAGTAAAATTATAAAGGTATACCCATGGTAACCATGGTATAAAACAATGAAATTCATTCGCTACACTCAACCTGATCATAAATACTTAGCCCCCCCCCCCCCCCCCCCCCGTTCGAAAAACGTACGGCGGGGTCTGCATGTAATATGTAAGACTACTACGAGTGGTGGTGATGCAAATTTTAGTTTTCTAACCCCAAACATTTTGCTCAATACGCCACTGGTGACCATACTACTAACATAAACTACTCATTATTATAGTAAACCAGTCTACCACTTAAAGCTCACCTCATGGTTGTTGCCGTTGGTTTCCCAGTCAGAAGTAAGAGTAGGATGAGGATGGAAGCCTTGATTTGTTGGCAGACAAGGTATTTAGTAGTACAGCAGAGAGATACACACGTACACTACACTATATACGTTCCGCCTTGAGACTTGAAGAATTGGTACTGTAGCTCAAATTACGGACTTTCTATATGTAGCACACGTGCGCGCGACATTTCCCGATTCGCATTCATAAAAATGCACCCAAGCTTGGACCCTGGATCGCTTTCATTTCCACAATGCATTCACAACAAAGGATTACGGTTTCAACTCTGGCCATTGCACTATGCAGGCCACCATGCGTACCATGGAGCACTGAGGTTCCATAAAACCAGGGACTTATGGATTAAACTTGTTATCAAGTTACAATACATGCATTTGTTATGAGTCACTGAGGCACTAAAATCCCGGACTAAAATCCTTTCATTTCATTCGATAAAAGGTCCCACCTGCATATTATGTACAAAGACATTTTACAACAAAATGAATACAGTAACAAAACAAATTTTATAAAACAAACTAAGGTTCTTTGGCGGCTTACTAGCGCTCATGGCAGTCAAACCTGCTTTAGTGACCAAGTAATTACTGGATATACCATATTTATTTGTTTCCCTTGAAATATGCAAATCAGAACCTTCAAGATAGCTGTTTTTGATAGAAATCGTAATTTTTCCTTGAAATTCAGATAATGACGGTAGAGACTTTTTGTTCCCGTTTATTTTCTTACCTCTCTCTCTCTCTCTCTCTCTCTCTCTCTCTCTCTCTCATTTCCCTCTCTTCTTTAAAAAAACTACATTGTTTAGTTTCTACTTTGTGTTAATCATTTGCTCAAGAGGAGGTTTTCACCCTAATGCCACTTTAACTCATTAAACTTTATCTTTTAAGCAGTTCGCACTTGAGGGTTTTAGTTTCATGTTACTTACTTTCTTCCAATACCTTAAACAAGGAAACCTGAGCTCTTCACAATATATCACGTTTAATTTCAGTACCCGCACATCATATTGAAATGAAAACCTTCAATGAATGAAAATTACAGGCAAATCCAGCAGTTTTTTTTTGTAGGCCTATATATAGGAAATGCCACAAATACAAATGCAATTTTATATTACATTTATAATTGATTGTGATTTTTGTTTCTCTTCCTGTTCGTATTGTCAATTATAAACATTTATTTTTAATATAGTAGAATAATCACCCCCCCCCCCAAAAAAAAGAGTTACCTAGCTGTCATGAAAAATGTGGTTTATTGCTAGTCATCCATCCACATCTCCCTTTCTCTACATTATAATATTTCGTTCACCCCCACTCTCTCTGTATCTATCTCTCAGTCTCTCTCTCTCTCTCACACACAGACACACACCCTTTCTAATTCTCTCTCTCTCTCTCTCTCTCTATATATATATATATATCTTTCTCTCCCTCCCCCCCCTCTCTCTCTCTCTCTCTCTCTCTCTCTCTATATATATATATATATATATATCTTTCTCTCCTCTCCCCCCCCCCCCCCCCCCTCTCTCTCTCTCTCTCTCTGCGTTTAAAGAAATTTGTTCTGGTCATGTGATTACATTGTGAAACAAAGAGTAAGTATGGCGAGGTTCTGAAAGAAAGAAAAAAATAAGAAGAAATTGACTTAGTCTTAATAACAGTCACAGTTATTTAGGCATACACAGAATACTTAGGACCATGCACACAACCATGTAAGATTGGTCCAAACGATGTATTTCTCAGTATTTCTTGGTATCAAATATGAGGGCAATTGCCGTGAGAGCAATCCTTTCCAGCCGACATCCTTCCTAACTGATAAATAATGAGATACCTCACACATTAAAGATTCTTTTTATTTCACCAGAACTTAGCGTTGTCTTTAACCTGAACATGAATTAAAATGAACATCGAAAATTTAAACCTGAGCATTACATACAGAATCTGGTCGATTTTTTTTTGTAGACAATCTGTCAGGCATACGAATTCGGGAACACGCCATCTTCGGCTTGAAGCAGATAGGGGAAGAGTAGAGGTCAGTAGTTGGTGTAGATTGTCGAAACGAAAATCTGTATGAAGCGATTATAGTGAAAAGTTGAATCAAATTTGCTGTAAAATTGGGTAGAAATGACAAAGGACAATTACTTTTTGTTCACTCATAACGTCAATGGCGTATCTTTACAGTGCACATTTTTTTTTGGGGGGGGGGGAGGGGGGGGGGGCTTAAACCTCCTGCAGTTTTATGTTTGTCTCCTTCGTTCTATCTCCCCCTCGTTATTTTGTTTCATCCTCCTTATTCTTTCTTAATAGCCTAGAATTTATCCTGACTCCCTTTACCTCATTCCTTATTTCCCCCCCCCCTCCCACCCCTCTCTCTTCACCTTTCCCCCTCTCCATCTAGTAACTATAACTTCGTTATACAGTGGCTTGCGGTTGCACTATGTGAGAAAGGGGGAGGACTGGGGAGACCTGAAAAGGACTCTCGATAATCTTACTTTCTTGAGTGTGTGTAGTCCCGAAAAGGACTGTTGGTAGTATTGAAAAAGAATATGGGTTATCTTTCTTAGCTTATAGTTTGGAGAGAATGGGTAGTAGGAAGGGGTGTCGATGTGTATCCGTGGAAGGGGATGATAATATTAAATATTTTCGGCAATGGATCAAAGCAACCAAGATGTAGAAACGTGTGGCAGACTGGCAGGTTGCACCCCCTCCCCAAGCGCGTAGCCAGGATTTCATTTTAGGGGGCGGTAGTGAGCACGCAAAGCGCGCTCCCAAGGGGGTGGGTGCAGGGAGGGGGAGTTTTCCCCCTCCCCGCGAAGCGCGGAAGCTTTGACGTTTCATTAATTTATTAGAGAAAGAAGACGATTCGTTGTACCGTTCTCGACTCTTAATCCTTTTTCTTCCTACGTCCTCTTCCCCTTCTTTCTCTCTCTTTTTTTTTTTGGACCGGCGTTTTTTTTTTTTTTTGGGGGGGGGGGGGCGACCATCCCCACGGCCCCCCTGGCTACGCGCCTGTCCCTCTCCCTTCCAAATTATTTACCTTTTCAAGTCACCCTCAAGCTTTGACGTTTCATTAATTTTTTAGAGAAAGAAGACGATTCGTTGTACCGTTCTCGATTCTTAATCCTTTTTTTCCTACGTCCTCTTCCTTTCTTCTTTCTTTCTCTTTTTTTTTTTTTTTTTTGGCCGGCGTTTTTATTTTTTTGGGGGCGACCGCCCCCACCGCCCCCGGCTACGCGCCTGCCCCTCCCTTCCAAATTATTATCTTTTTCAATTCACCCTCAATAACGATAACATTTCAGAGAATATAACAGTACATGCCAAATGTTAGTCCTGACTCTTGCCTGCAGTGTAGGCCTACCAGACTGATATCATCTATTTTTACACGAAATTTAGACATTACCCAAAAAAATCCAATGGTGAGGGATAATAACTTGTGAAAGTACTATGTAACCAGTGGGCAAATGCATTAACAAGCAACCAAGAAAGGTTCATGTAGACAGAAATAGATACATACATGTTATGAATATTGATGTCTCCAAACAACATTCATCGTGAAAAACGCATTCCAATATTCTGTGTCAGGAGATCTCAAAAAAACATAGTTCTCATTAGTAAATGAAAAACATATTGCTTTTGGTTCTTCATTTGACTCTCTTTATTCTTTAATTAAACCAACTGAATCCTCTCTGCGGGAAACTCAATTAAATGAAACAGAATATCACTGATGCAAAATTTGGTTCTCAAAATGACAGAAAATGTCCACTCCTGATCTCATACAAACTGTCTGTTTCTTAAAAACATAACATAAAACTTGCGTTCCAACTACCAAACAACAAACTTCCATTATCTCCTTTTTCACCCAGATAACTTATCATACCAGAAACGCTCTAAAATATAAGCTTAATATTCCCCTAAGGCCCTGACCAGAGCACTATTTTTTTCTCCAAAAACCATAACCAGTCTTAGAAGGTGTATTATTATTTGAAGGGTGTTATAAACAAAACTTCAAACTTAATATTCAATTCAAATTCAAATTCACATTTATTCGGCAAAAGATAAAAACATCAAAATGAAATCATTACAAATGAAATCATTATAAATACCGGGATTGCTAAAATAAGTTAAAAACTTGTAAACAAGCAACCCCAAACATAAAAACATACAGATACTATACAATACAATAAGATGAAATACGATACAATACAATACAATACAATAATAATAATGTTACATGCTAACAAAATATATGAATCAATTATGTATTTCAATAAATCAATAAGTGGCAAGTATTGTTCTTTTCAGTTTAAGTTTAAATGCGTTCTGGTTCTTAATACCCTTTAAATAACTTGACATGGAGTTCCATTTGTGAGGACCTTGATATCTGATTGATTTATTTTGCAAAAATGAGTTAGTGAATTTTGGTAGATGGAAGTCTTTTTTTTTTCTTGTATTAAAGGAGTGGACATCCGAGTTCAAATGAAAACTGTCATAAAAAGTTACTGGTAGCAAATTATTTTGGAGTTTGTACATAAATAATAAAGTCCGTTGAGAAAGAATATCTGGAAATTTGAGTAAATTTAAGGATTTAAATAATGAAGAGGTGTGCGCCCTGAAGGAAGCATTGCAAAACAACCGAACAGCCCGCTTTTGAAGTATGATAAGGGGCTTTAATAAATTATTAGACGTTCTCGCCCAAACTAAATTACAGTACGTTAAGTAAGGATATATGAGAGTGTAGTAAAGAGAAAGCATAGTAGAGGATGGTAGAAAACTTTTGAGCTTATTCATTACACCGACTTGGGACCGAATCTTCCTGGAAATTAATTCAATGTGTTTTGCCCATGTAAGTTTGTTGTCAATGGCAACTCCTAAAAAATTGGCAAATTGTACCTGGTCAATACAGTTACCATCTATTGCCAGACTAACATTTTCAATTAAAGTATCATTTTTTTTACCAAAGTTAAATATCATGAACTTTGTTTTGGTCTGATTAATTTTTAGCTTATTTGATGAAAACCAGCTAGCAACCTTTTGAAGTTCAACATTGGCTTCGAAAATTAAGTCTTTCAAATTTTTACCAGAATAGAAGATGTTTGTGTCATCGGCATACAGTACAT